CACTGTTCCTGTCAAATCTACCTCATTTCCCTTGTTAGCATTGTGATAGCAAAGATCTTTTCTTAAATCAGTATAAAAAAACAGTTGTCCATATTGTCTATGATTTTCCTGATTCTAAAACCCCTGCTCTTTCTGCTTTCCCTTCCACTCAGACTTCAAAGATTTTTCTTTCCTGATTCTCCTATTTTGAATGATCTCCTTGATTTTGGTACTTTTCTTCCTTCTTGTAGACTATTGTCAGTAGGTACCAAAAGGTATTTTTGTGTCTTTCCAAAACATTCACATGTAGCTGTGTTTTCTTTTTCACCTTGGATACTGATTTCTGGTTTCTAGTTGATATTTAATAATAGATTAATGTTTTATATTAACATAGTCAAATGAATATAAGGACTCTATATAGTTACAATATTAACTATATACCCATATCACATATGTCATGGCTTTTTTCATTTTTATTTACAGAAGATTATAATTTAGCTAGTATGCTTTCAGAAAATATTAGATTAGAACAAATGAGAGCATCATAATTTATAGATTTGTTTATTTTATATGATTTTATAAACATAATATCTGTTTAAATAATAACTAAATATTTAATCTTAAAGAATTTGACATATTTGTTTTGTACATTTCTTCAGACTTAAAAAACTCCTAAAAGTTGCAAAACAGAAATTACATGAATGTGATAATGAAGAGCTTAGTTTCCCTGGAGATTCAAAACCAGGTCCAGCTGACATGGAAATTCAGTCTAAAAAGCCAAAACAGAAGGTAATTTTAAATTAGTTTTGGGACCCAAAATTCACCTAATTTGGGGAAATAGATATCATTCAATGCTTTAAGTAGTGAAATATAGATTTTCTTCCATTCAGTAGCTCACCTTTTCAGTTTCCTGATAGTGCCTTTCAAAGCACAGACGGTTTTGATTTTGATGAAGTCCAGTTAATCTATTTTTGTCTTTTGGTTTCACGTATAAACTTGAAGTAAGGCAGAGGAGACATTGTATTTAAACGATGCCAAATCCAGTCATGAAGATATACACCTATGTTTTCTTCTTAAGTCTTTTATAGTTTTAGCTTTTACATTTTAAGTTAACTTTTATGTATGGTCTGATGTAGAGGTCAAATTTTATTCATTTGCATGTGGATATCCAGCTGTCCCTGGACAATTTGTTAAAAAGACTATTCATATCTGATTTAATTGTTTGGCACCCTTGTCAAAAAGCAGTTGGCCACAAATTGGGCTTAGGTTTGGTTTCTCCCTTCTACTTCACTGATGAATAAGTCTGTCCTTATGCCAGTACCAATCAAATTTTATGAGTATCTTTCCCAGTCATCTTGCATAGTACCAGCTGTTTTATGTAATAAAAAAAAAGTCAGTGTAGTGGCATGTTTTTACCTCTACTTTCATGGAGATTTCTTGTTTCTTGATAAAGCTTATGGCCAGCTTATGTTTTGCTGACTCTGTGACATGGTGGGAAAGTAGGCTTACAACGATAACACCCATTCCTTTTTGTCTGCATTTAAACCTTCAGCCTCTAACCCAGTGCCTCCCACTTCACTTCCATTTCCATGAAATCCTAGTAACAGGATCTGCTGACTTAGCCATTTCTTTCATTGTGTTTAACTCATAATTCATAGACTTGCCAGTAGCTTTCACCACGTGGGGAGGAGAAGATTAAAATCTGGACTGTCAGCTTTCCTCTTCAGAAATGCCTGACTTTGAAATTTCAAATTTTATTTTATTTTTAAATATTTACACTAATAAAAGAGAAACATGGTAATTAGTGTATGACCGCTACCCTTCCCATTGGCTAATCAGCATATCCTTATACAAATTAACTGTCAGCCAAGATGGCGGCCAGCAGCCATGCACTGAAGCAAACAGGGAGGCTTGCTTGCTCCAGTGACTGCGGACTCCAATGTTCCCCACCTGACTTGCGGGCCTCTCAGCTGCAACTCTAAGCAACTATGTTGCAAATATAGAAGCTAAACAAAACCCTAGAAACCGGCTTTCAGTCAGCCGGGCTTCAGCCAGCCGGACCGCAACATTGTATCAAATACAGAAGGTAAAGGCCAGGAATCTGCTTTCAGCAGCGAGGCCTCAGAGCTAAAGCTGGCCCAGAATAGAAAAAAAAAAAAAAAGAAAAAAAGGAGCAGTTGGGAGCTTCAGTCACCTGCCAGCCTGAAAACGGCCCTCAGCCCCTCACCCAGACTGGCCAGGCACCCCAGTGGGGACCCCCACCCTGATCCAGGACACCCTTCAGGGCAAACCAGCAGGCCCCACCCGTGCACCAGGCCTCTATTCTATATAGTAAAAGGGTAATATGCCTCCCAGCACCGGGATCAGCGGAGCAGCGAGGCTCCCAGCACCGGGATCAGCGTGACAGGGGGCAGCAACCAAACCCCCTGATCACCCTGCAGCTCTGTGTGTGACAGGGGCGGGGCCACAACCTCCCTATCTGCGCTGCTCTGTTCGTGACAGGGAAAGGCGCCCCAACGCCCTGATCAGCCCTGCTCTGTGCCTGATAGGGGGGAGCTCCCCAATCCCCTGATCGCCTGCAGCTCTGTGACAGGGGGGAGCTCCCCAACCCCCTGATTGGCTGCGGCTCTGTGAGTGAC